ATTTGAGTTCTATTGAAAGCGACCGCAGAGTTGCGCCTCCCGGTTCGAGCATATGTCCGCCGCCGGTGGATCGATTCTAACAGCTATCTCCATGGTACTCTCGGTGGACCTCAGATCAAAAGTCGCCGTGGTTCTCGTCGGCCCTTGTCAACAAGACGCCGCAATTTCCGTCAACCACGATCAACAACTCGCCACGGATCTGCAAGACGGCACTCGTCGACAACTCGCCGTGACAACTCTCCGCCGACCATCATCAACAACAACTCGGCTAATCACGGCAACATCCTCGGATACCAAGGCGCGCCCCGATTCAACAAGCAAGCAAGTAAAGCCGACGCTCAAATTTTGCGAGAAGACTCAAGGCACGGCCAGAGTCGGTGAACTACTCGCCACGACGAAGAGTCCGACATCACCACATGTTGGATCACTAACATCAACTTCGGCAAGGAGTACGTCCCAGCGTTATCAACTTGGATACGGAGGTATGACCGGATAGAAGACGCCTGACCTACCAAAAAAGGACAACATATATATGTATATACACGCATCGAACACATATGGTGTATATGCTACGTCCGACAACCAGCCCCGGATTTCACCTCGACAAGAAGACAACCGAGTTCGACTCCAACTCGAACACCTCGAGGGCTCATGGATGCAATTGGATCGGAGGACAACTGGGATTTATCCGAGAACATCCGAAGTTCAACTCCAAGAACGCGACATCCGAATTCAACTCAGATATCCGGAGACATCGACTACATCAAGACATCCACGGCGCCACAACAACAAACAAATACAAGGAAGGCGATGTGTATATATACATACAAGCAAGAAGACGAAGCCATCCAAATTGATTATCGACACATACAAGACTACAAGATGGATATGTGAACTAGTACACATACACAGAGATAAAGATCAACTTTCATCCGACACCCGCGACAACTTCATCACACACGTCAAGCTAGATGGATGCACCAGACGCACATCGCCGGCAACGCACTACACCACGATAAAGGCTTCAGAGTACATGATGACAGTTCCGAAGTTGTTCGAATACTCGACATACCGCCACTCGATTGGTTTACCCCATCAACAAACTACTCGCCAAACCGTCCTGGCTACCAAAGCGATAAGAGAGCTATCAAGTCTACTCTACCTACTCGGCCAAGACGTCAGACCGATCGACCACCCATTGCAGCGATGATCAACGACTCGTCCATAAACCAACCAAGCGGGGAGCTACATCTATACCATGAGATCGGGAAAAACACGCTCCTGAGAGCTATTTTACTCAGACAAGTCCAGAAAGAACCCGGATTGATCAAAAAAGAACCCCGACAAGGTGCGGCAAGAACCAAGACAAGATCAGAAAGAACCCGGATTGAAGGAAAACAACCTGCACGAGTCAGCGTAAATCAAGACAATTAGAAAAAGAACTTGGATTGATCGAAAACAACCCGGATGAGGTACATACAAGTTGAGAAAGAACCTGGACGAAGTGCAAACAACCTAGAAGAAGTACATCAAGAACCAGAGAAGTCTAGAAACAACCTGGATGAATAAAAAACAACTCAGAAGAGCGTCACGGCTTAGTCAAACACTAAGCTCGGGGGCTCGGCATTCGCTTCAACTACGCCCGGGGGCTCGGATTCAAGGACGAAAGACCAAGAATACAAGTACTCAAGACTACAACAACGACAACACATCAAGACCATTCATCCGATTTCCATTCTAAAGAAAAGTACTCAGAGAAGGCTTGGGGGCTGCGGGATACATAACCCCAGAAATTTTTGAAGACAAGAACCTGGACCCTCCAACTTTTGCAAGCAAAAGCAAGAGGCTCGGGGGCTACACTCAGTGAGTGCAATTTTTACGAAAAATTGCACCCACCGAAAAAGAACTCAGAGCAACCAAGAAGACTAAAGGGACCCTCTGGCTTCTTGTCCCAACAAGCAAGAGGCTCGGGAGCTACACTCACTGAGTGCACTTTTTTAGAAAGTGCACATGAGTCATGACGAACCAACCAAAAGAAGACCATCTCAAGGTTTCACTTTAGAAGAACCTGGAACGGATTTACAACAACTCAACGAAGACCAAGAAGAATAAGAAGGCTTCCAAAGCTCATCCATGAGATGCTCGGGGGCTTGTCGATGCGGAACCCATGGGGTTTCGCATGGAGAAGAGAGAAGAAGACCTAGTCCAACTAGGATTCCCTACATGTAATACTACTAGGACTAGTTACATGTAATCCTACTAAGATCTCTACTTTGTAACCGACTAGGACTCCCGCCTCTCCTGGACTATATAAAGGAGGGCAGGGGTCCCTAGATCGGAACCGACCGACACATAACAGAAACCTCTAGATCTCGATAGAGATCAAGAGGACGACATAGCGCAGGGCGCAACATACTATCTACTTGACACTGGACGTAGGGCGCCGTGATTTTCCGGCGTGCCGAACCAGTATAAATCATTGTCTCCCTGCGTTTACCATCGAGTTCCTGCATACGCCGATACGCCTCCGAACAAATCACCGCCCCGGGTACTCCCGTGGCGGGTTGCCGGTGGTAAAACATCGACACAAACACATTGACATTAAGTTATATGTTGTAAAGGAAAAAATCCAGAATCATTTTGAAAGCATTGAGCATATAAGTATCAAGCAAGTACTTGTGGATCCGCTTACGAAAGGCTAACCACCTAGTGCGTTCAGAGAATACACGGTCGACATGGATTTACGGGAAAGCCTATGATTTCTGGATACTAAGGGCCTAGTTAAGAATTTGTTTCAAAACAAAGAGGTACATTGTAGCTGTTTAATCTAATGGCAACTGACCATGACGACGATGCACGCTTTATGCACTGATCTGTGATGGAATGAGAAAAAGATAAATTAAGTTAAGTTTAAGTCATAAGGTGAGTTCAAGGGAGAGAATGATAGGTTGATCTCTATCAAGTTGGCCCAACGGCTAATTGGGCCCTTGATCCGCGCCCTGATCGGGGCTCCCAGCCGTTCTCCTGGCTGATGGGCCCCGTCGCGTAACACTATAAAGAGAAAGATGAGGGCCGAGACGCAAGGTACGAGGTTGACCACAGCCGCCAACACCGCACCAACGACCTAACCCTAGACCGATCTCGAGGGTATGCTGTGAGCGACAGGAAGCGCCATCGCAGCCGCCGCCGCCTATGACCGCGCCTCCGCGTAGTTGCTTCCTCTACTCCGAGCATTGCTGCGGCACCATGGCCACGACATCGGTCCGTCGAGGTACATCACCAAGTCTCCCATCTAAGTCGAGTTTTACCCACTGATCTACGCCTAGATGGTCCTAGAAATCTATCAAAGTTGAGTCCATGCCGCCGCTGGAAGGAGGCCAACCACCAGCATAGTGACCATCCGCAAGGACGCACCCGGCGGGCAGTGGTGCCAGGGCTACCAATCCAGAAATCCCGTAGTGCCACTGAGTGCTTGATCCTCCTCTGTCAAGGCCCACGAGCAAACGGCATTTCTGTAAAGTATGGCATAACAGCAAAAATGTGGAACAAGTGTGAAGTGACACATCTATTCAGTGTAGAAAGGGATTTCCAATCGATGGTAATTATTTCCAAACACTGGTTGATGACAAATATTATGATAACATCAAGGATATCATCATCTCTAGACAAACCACTGGATATGCCTTAAGAGACTGACACAAAAACACATGAACGTCAATACAAGTTGACATGATATACCTTCTTAAAATTCATATATGCAGATAAAGATGACCATTGTCAAGTGGAGACAAGGAAATAAGATCTGTGGGCAAATGTTTTCTAATAAAATTTGTATGACAGAATTTTCTTGCAACATTAATCCCATTGAATTCTCAACTTTAAAGAGACAAAAAACACCAACCTTAGACAGATCAATCCAAGAGATCTCTCAATCTAAACGGAAGCATTGCATTGCCTCCTGCAAACCTTGAGAAGTTTCTCTTCCAATGTTCACTGCATGCCAATAAATAATTTTCTTGTAGAACATTTTTCAAATATTTCACATCCTAGATCATTTCATAGTGACGGCTGCAAGACTACATTGGAAGCAATCCCACTCCCACCGTAGCAATTCCTCTTTCTGCAATTTGGGGCAATCATATTAGCTTCATATCTACTGTCCAAATATCATAACAGTATAAGACTCCAACTCACACATTAGGTGGACTTAATATGTTCAGAGGCTGCACATAAGAAAACAATAGGAAGACAGTATCCTAACGAGGTCATCGATCTTCCACCTTACTATTACTTTTCTTGATCTAATGCATTGAAATATCCTAATATAGGGAGATCAGGCAGGCATGATATTTGGGGGGCACCGGGCATAAGAAAGATGCCGGTAAGGTACATAGTTCGGTAAAACGATGTCATTCAAGTCCTAGTGCCCTACCTTAGTTGCTATCTAGTTAGGCCAATAGAATTTGGAACACAAGCAAAGTTGATTAGTTCTTAGTAGCTCCCTGAAAACATACACAGATCACTGATGGAATAAGACATTTTCTATCCATACACTTACTTCAAAAAAATCTATCCATACAGACCTTGCACTGAATGGCTTGGCAAGATGACAGAAAAATGCGACACAAAAATCTGATAAATAGACCTTGCTTCCAAACAGATAGGCCTTCAAAATTCATCCATGGCAATTAAACATTTTTTTTCATAAATTAGTCTCAAGAACTAATGGAAATGCCATGTTGGAAGCTTGGAAATTTCCATGATAAATTGTTGTAGATATGGTGGAGCCAACACGACCAAAAGAATGAACAGGAATGCAATAAAGTAATGTTATGTGCAATAGAAGCACAAAATCAAAACAATACCCCATTTCAAACTTCCATCTTTCATCCATGCAGCTATGTACACCAGTGGCTCATCAGGCATCGCCATCCAGCGAAATACTTCCAGTCTGGTGCTCTCACATGCCCATAGAAGCGCTCATGTAACCACAAAGATCTTCACTTATGCAAGCCACCAAGAAGCCTATTATAAGAGGCAATGTTTGGTATAAATCCTAAATCAAGCATTTCGTCCAACACAGCCTTCCCTTCCTTTCTTTTCCCCTGCCTCCCAAATCCCTGCACCAGCACATGATAAGTTTCACCATCAGCCTCAAAACCCTTCTCCTTAGCAAACACCCTTAGCTGGTTGGCATCAGCTGTCCTCCCAGCTTCGCAAAGCGCCTCAAAGATGCAGGTACAAGAAATTGCATCCGGAACAATCCCCTGATCAATCATTATCCACATCAACCGGCAAACCTCATCCAGCTTCCCTTCCTTCATCAGACACTCCAAAACCGTAACGCCAGCAGGCACACTGAGACAGCATTTCATATTCCTCTCTAATACCATGTCCACAGCTTCCACTGCTCTGTCCACCTTCCCACCACGGCACAGAGCGTCAACAAGTTCAAAGCAATCAAACCCTTCTGGCACCACCCCATCCCCCCAAAACTCAGCAAACACCTCAGCTGCCTTTAGAGCCTCGCTACCACGGCACAATCCACCAATCAAAATCTCCATGGACGCAACGGACAGCCCGACCCCAAGCTCAAGCATCTCACGTGCCACCTTTATTCCCTCCTTATACCTGCCTTCTCTGATGAACCCACGCATAAGTGTGTTGAAACTAACGCCGGTAGGTGCACAGCTCCGGCGCTGCATCTCACCAAACCATCGCATGGCGGCGTCTACACCTTCCGCCCGGCAGGAGCTGTTGATGAGTATGTTGAATGTGTAGGCATCCGGGTTGACGCGGTGGACGGAGGTCATTTCGCCGTAGAAGCGGATGGCATCGTCGTGGCGGCGGAGGCGGGAGAGAGCGTGGAGGATGATGTTGTAGAACTCGGCGGGGAGCGGGAGCGGGGAATCAGCGACGCGCCGGAGAGAGGCGAGTGCTTGGGATGCGGCGGGGATGTCGCCGGAGGCGGCGAAGGCGACGATAGCCTTTCGGAAGGTGGGGAGGAGCTCGGGGCATGCGAAGATGGAGTCGTCGGCGCAGGGGCAGGGGCGGGTGAGGACGAGCTCCAGGAGGCGCTGGAGCGAAGGGAGGCGGCGGGAAGCCGCGAGGCGGGCGGTAAGGAGGGACGTGAGGCCGTGGTCGGGTCGGAAAGCGGAGGATGCGTCGGCCGCGGCCAGGAGGATGTGGAGGTCGAGCGCAGCGAGTCGCGGGTGGTGGCGCGCTCGGCGGAGGAGACGAAAGAGAGAGGCGGGGGAGGAGGCGTGAGCGGAGGGGAGCACTGGGAGCGGGTTAGGCGGCGAGAGATGGGAGACGGCGAGCGGAAGGACGGGCAATGAGGGGTCGAGCGGGATGGATGCGGAGGTGGTGGGGGCTTCGGTGAGTTCAGGTGCGTCAGTCTCCGGGGAGATGAGGCGCTGATGGCGGGAGATCAGCGACGGCAGCTTCCGCGCGAGGCGGCGAGAGGCGGCCATCGGCCGGCGGTGGAAGGAGACGCCTCAAGCTTCCAGGTCAGGCGGTCCAGGAGCTGGCCCAACAAGCAGATTCCATGAGCCCAGAACTCAATAGTCAGAACCAACATCCTTCACAAAGGAATTCCCTCTTTTTTTTTAAACCAGGAAATATGCGTTACAACGGAAGAAAAAAACTACTAAACATTTATGCAAAACGATAACATGAATGGTACATATCTACTTATATTTTTTGTGATGACGGTCACATCCATAATATAAGTTAATGTTGACAATAACTAACAATATCCTATTAAACATGTATCAAATTAAAATACACCTCAATATATTTTTCCTTCCGTTGCAAAGCGCATAATTATTTAGATATAAATATATCATAACTTTGTAGCTTTTTCATACTACCCGTGTGTTTCTATGACTCAATATCGATCTTTATAGCTTTTTTGACGCATCATATCAACCTCCGTAACTTTTTTGTCGATGTGCCAGGATTGGTCTATTCGCCAATAATTATGACGGGAGATCTCTTGATTTTTCACACGACAGCCCTCGTCAGGAATTACATAAATACATTTGTTTATAGTTCATCAGTCAATAATCTGCCCAAGATTTCGGTTCAAGAAATAATTAGTTGTACCATTGATTAATCCATATTTTAATAAAAATAAGTTTTGTTTCATATCAAAACTACATCAGATAGTGTAAATCTTTCTCCTCAAAACATAATGTGTAAACAAACATAATAAGTGTTGAATAGGGATTATGCACCGGGGCTTGCCTTAAGCAGGAACCAGACAACGGAAAGTTAGTCAAGGCTTTAGGAACACCGACAACGAGGACATCATCCTCGTACTCCTCGGCCACCTCCGTGTATTCCGAGTCTGTCTCTGGCACTTCTCGATCATTGCGAACCTATATGCATGCAACATATACAAGGATGATTTAATACACCTAAAGACAAAGCATAATCTAATAAGATTCATAACATCTATGGATGGATCATATTTTTATGAAGCTAACAAAACTAGTTTAGAATTTTTTGATTTTTCTATGATTTTTGGTGAATTTCGCAAGATCTCTATTTTTTATAGAAAAAAAGAAAAATGAAAGAAAAGAAAAAAGACTTCCATGGGCTTGGTCCAGCCCACAACAAAGCCAGCCTAACTAACTGTAAGGATTCGGCCCAAGTCGAAAAAAGAAGCCCACTCGAATTTGGACATTTTGCATCAGAAACCCCGATCTATTTCAAAAACTATTAAAAACTCCACATTTTTTCTCTCTTTACATCTGTAACCTGTATTTCTTTCTATTCTCTTCCCTACTCCTAATCCCTCCTAATCTCCATTTGATATCTTTACGTCTAGAACCCTATATTTCTTTCTATTCTCTTCCCTACTCCTAATCCCTTATAATCTCCGTTTGCAAACCGATGCAGAAACGGATATGGGTGGACAGGGCTGGACGAAAAAAAATTGATGGCAGAAATTTTACCTCTTTAGTATTACTAGCAAATATGCTCGTGCGTTGCAATGGGATGTATGTTACGTAGTGACTTCGCTAATTTGTAACTTAGATTTATCAATAATCGTATCATGTGTTTCAGTTCATCGTGGATCTAGACTCCAAACCATGCCTCGACGTACGGTAATTTGCATGAGCACAAGAGGATTAGATGTTTATCTAATGATGATCATGTTATATGTTCATATTTGTTTTGGGATCGTACTCTGCACCGCATCATGGCTAGCTAGATACATTGCTCTAACTTATATAGACTTGGCACTCGCAAAAAAAACTTATATAGACTTGGGAGAGAATGACATACTAATAAAATGATCTATGCTTTATAGATATATACATATAAATATAGATTAATTTACTTTGATCGGATCGAAAAGTTTAAAACATGGTAAGTGTTCCAAATGGATTCTAGTCAGATGAACAGGTACACCAATTGACTTGTAACTATTGATGTCGAGTTTGTTTCGAAAACATGTACACCAATTGACTTGTAACTATTGTTCACGACAGCTATATGGACTGCGTATGTCAGTACATGGCTAGGCGGAACTGTAACACCTCTGGTATTATGAGCTTGCTTAGCACCTAGGTTAAGGTCTTACAGAAATTAGCAAAACAAGTTCTCGAGTTGGAAATTTTAAAATCACGCATGAAATGATAAACAAACCCTGTGCGACATACCTTTAGTGGTCGAGAGAAATCAAATAAATATCTAAGTTAATTTACTTAGCGTGTAAAAATGCTAATGAAAATCCTAACAAGAAAAATAGGATAAGTAGTTTTAATTGTTTGGCACGAAAAACAATTTCTTTAAACAAAAATAAAATATAACTTGTATTTTGTACTTAAATAAAAATTAAAGTACAAGTTTAGTAGATAGAAATGCAACTTTAACCTTTGGAAAATAAATATTGTTAACTAGTGTTCTTGGGAGCTCAAAAAAATCAAATCTGAAATTAAAATCAGACATTTTCATTGAATCGGCAAGAAGTTGAACTTGTAATTAAAGTGCCATTTTTGGTGAATTATATTGAGCAAAATAATTAAATAGTGCTTAAATATTTTGTTCCTATGATTTAGTATAAAGTATGGAATATTGCATGAAGTATTTGTTGGTTGAAGTTAACAAGGTTTAGACCTATTAAAAATTGCGACAAAAGAGTTAATGGCTACTTAGCCCCAACTGAAACGCTTAACTTTTCTAAGTATGGAAGGGTAGTAGACAATGCAATTTTGACATTTAAATTCTAACTAAAATGTTGAAACACTAGATCCATGTTTTTGTACTGTTGGTTGCTTCTAAGCACTTGAGCGTGCTGTAGGTCAAAGTTATGTTGGATGTCACGTTGTCCGCTCTAAATTTGCCCAAACCTCCTTAGAACGCGCTGTGAACTATGATTTGGTGCTCGGTTCGTGAACCGGCGTTCAGCGTGATAAACTCATGTTGGCACCTCTCTATCTCCCTCTCTGGTTGCTCTCTGGACATGAGGTTTGCTTCGTCAATTGGGTGTTAGTATCGGCTTTAGGTTAGTGGAATTGATTGAACCCCGGTCGTGTTGATCAGCAGCCTTTGCTTCGTTTTAGAACACGTGCACGTCATCGGTTGTTGTCGCTCGGCCTGAGTCTGCGGTCATCGTGCACACGCGAGCGCTGCTGGCGCTGAGCTCAAGCCGTGGCCGAGCCGGTAGGCTTGGGGGTAAGGCCCGTAGGGTTGATAGCAGTTCAATTGCTCATAATTCTGAAATCGCCTTGACTCCCTCTATCCAGTGCTCGCGCTATTTTGGCCAGGGCACTCGTCGGCGGTGTGGTGACGCGTCGGTGTCTGCCTTGGGACGTCGTCGTCGTGCCTGGGCGCACGTGGCCAGACCACCTCGGCCCTCCCCAGCTTCGGCCATCGCGAAAGCATGCACCACGGTGAGCTACTGATGCTTTTCCGCTATTTTCTGCCCGTTCGTGGGGGCGTAGGCTCACCGAAACGCTCACGCCGCCGTGGTAGTTGGTCCGCCAACACGAGCAGTGCATTAGCAGTCACCGTCTAACTTCTAATCGCCGCCCAGGGTTTCGTCTTGGCTTCGCGATGCTCGTCGGCCTGCTTGTTTGACCGGTGCCTCGCTCCATTATTAGTGAGCTGGTAAGGTTATTGAGAGTGCTCGATGCAAAACTTGTCTCTAGTGCAATAGTGCGCGGAGTCGCCGCATAGTAATCTAATAAGTCAGGGACCTTTTTGCTAAATGCGCGAGTACGCTCGCGTAGCGGGCTAGTTGGGCCAGCTTGCTGGCGCGTGGCCACACCCCGCGCGGGCCGCAACGGACGGCTGGGCCGAATTGGTGGCCAGTTGAAAGGTCCTAATATGGCTAGAGGGGGGTGAATAGCCTATTTAAAAATCTACAAACCGACTAGAGCAATTTGATTAGTATAACAAATAGCGAAATACAAACTTGCTCTAGGTCTACAAGGGTTGCAAGCCACCTATCCAACAATTTTAGTTGCAATGATCACTAGACATGCAATTTGCTATGCTACTACTCACTAAGAGCTCTCACACTTGCTACACTAAGGAGCTCCACTAGATGAACTTAAAATAATAAAGCAAGCTCCCAATTCTAATTACACTAAAGAGTTTGCTACAACTAGTTTGTAAGAATATAAATGAGTGAGTAGGGTGATTATACCACCGCGAAGAGGAGTGAACCAACAACAAGATGAATACTTAATCAATCACCGATAGAATACCAAGGGGCAAGAGACAACCGATTTTCTCCCGAGGTTCACGTGCTTGCCGACATGCTACGTCCCTATTATGTCGACCAACACTTGGTGGTTCGGCGGCTAAGAGGTGTTGCATGAACCTCGTCCACACAATTAGACACCGCAAGAACCTACCCACAAGTGAGGTAACTCAATGACATGAGTAATCCACTAGAGTTACCTTTCGGCGGTTCGCTAGGGAAGGTACAAGTCCCCTCACAATCATCGGAGATGGCCACGAACAATCACCAACTCATGCCAATCCTCCACTGCTGCTTCAAGTCGTCTAGGTGGTGGCAACCACCAAGAGCAATAAGTGAATCCCGCAGCGAAACACAAATATCAAGTGCCTCTAGATGCAATCACTCAAGCAATGCACTTAGATTCTCTCTCAATCTCACAATGATGATGGATCAATAATGGAGATGAGTGGGAGGGCTTTTGCTAAGCTCACAAGGTTGCTATGTCAATGCAAATGGCCAAGAGTTAGAGCTTGAGCCGGCCATGGGGCTTAAATAGAAGCCCCATAAAATAGAGCCGTTGGGCTCCTCACTGCACTGAACACGGGCCGACCAGACGCTCCGGTCATATTGATCGGACGCTGGACATCAACGTCCGGTCATGCGATGTGCGCCACATGTCATTGGCTTCAAACGCCGATCGCCCGATTTCAACGGTCAAGTGATGACCGAACGCGTCAGTTAGAAAGTGACCGGACGTTGGATCTCAGTGTC